CGTGAATGCCATGCTTCCTGCAGCAGGCGTGAAGTTAGGTCGTCCGGCTGACCCAGGATTCGCACGCGTTTGAAGTCGAAGCCTTGCAGTGGCGCGGATGCCTGAGCGGTCATCAAGGAAAGCCTGTCTTTCCGTCGCAAGGCGAGTTCGGGCTCGTGCACTCTCGAGGGAGCCCGTTTACTGGTTTCACCAAACTATTTGGCTGGACCACAAAGACCGTCGATTCAGTAAATAACATCGGATTTTTGGTTAACGTGTATTGGCTCTTTAGGCTACATAAGTTATCTTCGGATTGTCGTTTCCGGTCTGTGAGGGACGCCAATCCCAAATTTACTGACCAGTCGAGCGAATTCTTCGGATACACCAGCAATGTATTGCTCTCCAACCTGTGTGTTCTGGCTGTGCCGTTGGTTTCCTTCGTTTGGCTTCTCATCTGGTAGCTGCTCACGGATCGCCGCCAGGGCAAGTCTTCGAATTCAAACGCGTGCGAATATTGGGTCGGTCGGACGACTGAACTTCACGCCTGCTGCAGAAAGCATTGCATTCACGCGCGGATGCAATTAGTATTCCTGATACCTATCTCGCTTTGCGCGAACAGATCGAGAGCAGAGGTGAAGGTCACTCCTGGCAGATCTGAAATAAGTATGCGGTGAACTGTACATATTTTCGTCCCTTGACAATGTGCTCGCATGAGAGTTCGAAACGTCGGACAAATAAACCACTGACCCCAGAGAACGATTTACAATCTTCTATTCAGTTACCTGAACCTCGCATATTAGCTAAACTGATGTTTATGCGAATGAGCATAAGGATAGTGCCAGGCACACATTGGTTGGTAGAAACCTTCGCAGCGGACTGACGAGTCAGTAGAAAACCTGAGTAGCATGCGTCCGACACCCGTAAAGGCAGTTCTGCGACTTTCATTAAATGTTGAACATGAAGCCAATTTTTGCTTAAATTTGGATTAACTTATCCAAAGTCTGTATGCATCTTTGCGCCATTCTGTATTTTAGGTTACGTGCCTTGGTATAATACAAGTTAACATGGGGGGGTCTAAGGAGCAGTCATCACGTCCAGTTCGACGAGTTGGGATGAACGTCCAGGAGGTCACGGCCGGCACTCCAGCCTTTAAACGATTAGCGCACAAGCGGTCAATTATCCTTCATAGGGGATTTTTAAATCAACGTTTCCCAGGTGCAAATTTAAAGATAGCAATAACAGCAACATTTATTGGATCCATGGCATTACGAGAGAGCTCTTCAGTTGCTGCCTCTCATTGCGTAACGTGAATAACATAAGTGAAAATACTAATTGAATTCATACAGAAAAATCAATACAAACACAAGGTCATAAGAAAGGGCCAAGAGGCAAATCAATAACATAAAAAGTTAAAACGCGATGGTCAGAAAAAACGGGGAAAGACGTCTGAGGTAACAATTTTGGAGGGGAAATGTGTAAACAGAGAGCCAATATTACCAAGGCAGAGTTAGGTTCACTACAGGCTCCAGCTGTTTACATAGATCGGGTCTGAACCGTGGTATGTAGTCTGCCTCCAGGTAGCGTAAGGTGCGAGTTGTTCTTGCTCGAACAAGTACTCGGAAAGACGTTATGGGGTCAACAGAATGACCCATGTCTAGCAGACGTTCAGTAATCGATGACCGGGGAATTCTGTTTTCGTGTTTCATCAACCAGCTAGGTAAATGCTCCTTAGCTCCGGTGGCCAATTGCCGTTGCGTTCGCCCTCTGTGCTTGCATCCTAATATGCATGTAAATTCTTAAAAACAGTTTGAAGTGGCGCGCAACGGCAAGGCATCCTTCGCATGAGGGATTGGTAAAGGCTTTGTTTGATTGCAAATTATAAGATCGGCAGCATAGTACGTCCTTCTAATGGCATTGAAAAGGCGTCGTTTGATAGTATTTAGTATGTTATCGCCCTTAACGAGCAAGGAAATGAAAACGGGCTTTTTGGTGCTAACTATTGAGTCAATTTAGGTCTTAGAGGTTTACTATATTTGTCTATGAACTGACTTGGATATTCTCGCTTCAATAAGATGTCTTTAATGTTAGCTAATTTATCATCCAATATATCCCTAGAACAGATCTTTTTGGTCCTCTGGAAAAGAGTTTTAACATCTTTTGTTATAGATTTGCCTCTTGGCCATTTTTTTATGACCTTGTGTTTGTATCGATTTTTCTGTATGAGTTAAATGAGTATTTTCTCTTATGTGATTCACGTTACGCAATGGGAGGCAGCAACTGAAGACCTCTCTCGAAATGCCATGGATCCAATAAATCTTACTGTTATTGTTATCTTTAAACTTCATGGGGGAGTCGTTAATTGTCATAAGTGCGTAGTAGTATAGCGATGTACCCTTACAAATACTGCAACTTCCTGTATTGCTTTTGCCTACAAGGGAGGATCCGCGAGAGATTTTGAAACGTCTGGCGACCTAAATAATTGTCCCAGCAATCACATCTATTCGTTTTTTAGTACAACTGGCAAGTCCGGTCATATGAGGTCTGACCAACGACCGCGCACGTTTCTAAACAGACTATACTTTTTCAACTCCTTTCAGTTCTTACAAATTCAAATGATAAATCACAGGTGGTCCGAACACAGTTTACGCCTTCTGACCGCAAAAAATAATTTATCTTGACAGGCCTTGTCGCGTGTGATGGTAGTTCAGCCGTCGGCTTTGACAAGCCAATTTGGCGCAACGACTGAGATTTACGCACGAACCAGATAATCATGTAGGTAAATGTGTGCGTCATCTAGCACACTCTTTTTCACATCACACACCTGAAACTAATTTCAAGACAAAGTTAGTAATATCAAAATCGGGAGACAGCGCATGCGGCTGGTGCGGACGTAGCGTCTCTAAACGTGTCCTTACACCCCCTGGTCTTTACACAAGGGAACAAGACTTCCTAGCAGATGGGAGGTGGGCTGATCGGAGCTCCACTGCCTGCGAGTGTCATAAGTACTTTATAATTCCTAAACAAAATCCGGACCTAAAACTTAATTAATTTTGACAGAAACTGATAGCCTGCCATACTGTGTTTAACCTTGTTTACGATATCGCTCGTGAGAACCTCGAATGTGTCGTGACGCTCGGCGTAATCTGCCTGAACTGCCACTTCGTATAGAGACCGCATTCTCGCAATAAAGTTCAAGTGTCTTTCGCAATCACCATGAGAAGATGAGAAATCTGGCAAGCTCCTATTCCCATCTGTTATGCTCATTAGTTATTACGGAGCTACTGACACAGTTAAAAGATATTGCAAAATTAGTTCATTATGGCATAGATTGTTTTCCTATTAGGCGGGGCACGTCTCCCAAACTTCAAGACAGAGTTGGATCCTGCAAAAAGTCAGCCTGATAACACTAAATAGCACCATGCACCATAAGCTAATCACTTCATTTCGCAGACTGGGAGTGTATCCTGGCTGCCAAATTCTTAAAAAGTACAGAGATGCCGTATTATAGTATACTATTTACAGGCCTGAGTAAGTATGATTACTAGAATTAGCACTTTAGCATGGGCACGCACTTCTAGCAGTAGTTTCGTAGTTCGAACATAGTAGAAACGGACACAGCTGGACGGCTAGATTTGAGAGAGTAGAAACTAAGGCAAGCTCTGCTGTACTCAGGGCCACAAACATATGTTTACTCGGCATAGTCAAAACCCAGATTCATACTCCTTGTTTGGATCAAGGAGGTATGAGCCCCAACGCCGGCTTTAATCAGCGTCTGTGTTAGTACCGGTACTACTACCGTGCAGCTACGTTGCTAGCTAAAATTAGTAGAAATAGGAGTAGCCGTATACGTCTCGGCCTCCTTGAGCCTTTCATGACACCTACTGAATAGCAGTGAGCAAAAATAGTGTGGTAGTTCCCGCGCAAAGTTTGCCGTCATCAAAGACTAAGTTAGACGGTGTTTTTTGCTTGCACTGGCAAAAGCGGTCAGCACAGGGTACCATTCGGTCTGTTTGACGCCAGGCGAAGGTAAAGAAAGCGGATGACACCAACTACGTCCGCTTTTTACTATAACCTACCCCTTAACACTGTCACCTTCTGTACCATCCTGTTGCTGCACTTCAGCGAATTTGATCATCGAACACAGACAGAGAAAGCCTCGTCTACAAAATTTTGCGATGCAAATCTACTCACCTCTGTGACAAATGTTCTCTTCAATTTTGCATTTTCTGCCGTGCATGCAAATGAAGGCGGCGTCTGCGGAGGAGGAGTCATCGGTTCGGTTAAATTGCTGCAGCAGGTAACACATGCCCGTCCGGCGTCGGTGTACAAATGCAATGGCCTGGCAGACCGGCGTCTCCATACAGGATTCGCGACACTGACCATGCGTAACATGACGTTCCAGTCGAAAAACACGGCCCGGAGACACTGCAGGTGACCCATCTGGCGAGACCGCTACTTCGTCAAAGCATTCATGGCTTGCTAAAAAGAAGAAATAAAGGCAGTCCCATCAACAGCCCAGCAGATTATGCATCTCTTACTTGTCTGTTTTTTGCTTCTGAGTTCCCTATAAAGAATTGGCATTCTTTCCAAATTCACTTGTGTGCGTGGGTCATGTATTTAATCCGGTTAAGTTAAATGTATTTGAAAGAAAACAGGTCGGCCCATTTGAATTCCTTTCTTGAGGTTGCCAAGGTGATGTCGATTGGGAAAAAGCGTAAGCCTGTGCATCGAAAAGTGCTATCTTGCCACATAAGCCTCATTTGCAGACAGTCAAAAAGGTTAAGAGCAGTATAATCGTCATTGTAAACCACGCACCCGTTGGTCACATACAAGAAGGTGTTATATGTGTAGCCCCCAAAGACAAGTTCTGATTTCACAGTTTTGATATATGTGCTCAGGCGTGAAAGCATTTACATGGCTCCATATTTCGAGTTGAGTCTTCGCCTAGACAGATGTCGTAACTGTGCAGGAAGTAAGTGGATTGTCAAAGGTTCCTGTGAAACCTAGCGAAAATGGTGGGTCATCATCACGCCAATGGTGAAAGAAGAAGAAGGTGATGAAATTCCCATATGCAACGACCCGGACATAGACTTACATACCACTCTGCGAATTGCAACAAAAGCCTCAACCGATCCTTGTGGTCCTTGGCCACGCGGCCCGTAAAGTCCTTCCTAATGGCTGTCCATAATGGACTGCGAAGGATCGTGGTGGGGCCTTCTGTTTCGTCACTTGGTCGGCAGACTCGGTAACCGGCAAGGGCGTATGATGGGCGCATCTGCGACACTTCAGTGATGTTCTCGTGACCTCTGCGATCTTCTCCTCGTGTGACCCTTAGGATATTGACAAAAACGGCGATGGGCTTCTCCTGACATGCTTCAAAGACTCTCAGCAGCAAGCCATCCGATTATGCATACACCTTACTCCCCATGGGCGACAGGTTTTTCTTAAAATCCCTCAATGGCATTCAGTTCTAGAACTTCCGAACAATGCCTGAGGAGTTTTTGCACGGTCTGCTCTTTTTACCCAGTTCCATTAACTGACAACGCCACTCCTTTGCAATGTTTTGCTAAACTAATGTATTTCATAGCTGCTCTGTACCAGTAGGGAATTCAAAGGCATTTACCTACATTTCCCTTAATAAACCTGACATGACCAACGATTATTTTGGGATCTGCTAATTAGACAAAGCATGGCAACTGCGTCTGGTAAGCAGTGCACCCCTGAAATCCTTAAAAGATTTATTTTCAAGCATCCTATGACAGTCAGCGCATTACTTTTGTTGCACATACGACCTGTTTTATTGAGGCCAGCAGTTATACTCATCACACTCACAGACTGTACATGTTCGAGAAAGACTGGAACAGCTTCTTTTTGTGCTTACTTTTCGGAAAGTGTGGTTGGCCTACAACTTGGAAGAATACACGTACAAAATGGACGAGGAATGCTGAGCGAGTCGACGTCAGGCTGATCCATCTTCTTCGTATGCCTTTTTATGGATATGTGGGGGGAGGCGCGGGAGTAACCTTGGGCAGTTGGCTAAACTTGTGACCTCAAGAACGCGATTTTTTTTCTGTTGGAGCAATTCTAAGATAAAATGACTTACTCCTGATGCAGATTCCAAAGCCATCAACGGGCATCGTTGTCTGTCTTTCTAAACCAGAGCCAGGGCAAGATTGTCAGCTCGAATTCAAAAACTATTTATAGATATAGCCTGATGACAATCTGACCGTAGTGAAAGAAAAAGTGTCATCAGAGCATAAAGGCGTAGCTGCGGATCAGCCAACCCCAACCGAGACGAAAAGCCCTAAAAAGCAGCTGTCAGATCTGACAAGACTCCACCAAAATGAAGAGGTGAGATGAAAAAACTGCCATTAGCCCGAGGCGGAATTGTCCAACATGCCGCTTTCGTCTTTTGCTTGGCGACGATGAGCCAACGTTTGCAAAATCCCTCAGGTCACACCGTCTTTGAGCTCTATTTAAAACGTTGGATCAATTTACTTAAAACCTACCGTGGTTTCCTCCACAGTAAATTTATTCTGTTTAACTACTTGAATTTATTCATAAAACAACTTTCAACAGAGGTTATGCATTGGCTACTGTTAAGTTTAAAAAAAAAGGTGGAAACCTGGATTTATATTTCATTTAAATGATTTGTTCTCCTGTCATAGATGTCGCTGGCAAACCATGAAGGCGAAAGGATCAAGACATTTTATGGAAAAATAAGTTGATCTATACAAATACGTGACACGTTTCTTTGCTATGGATTAAACTTTTTCAGATGAAGATGGTGTCGCGACAATTAGCAACTCAGACTTGGACTGAAAAACGATCATTGAATTAGTACCGATCCTCACCAGTAATCGTGATAGCTTTTCAGTATGCGCTGGCTCGTGGACGTCGATCGATAAATACTGCACTACGTATTTCTCAACTACTCTAATCGCCGGTTGCTTTTGATAATGGGTTATACTGATAAACCGAAATATTTGACAAATAGGCATATCGTTACACTGATCGTATCTTGTTTTTAATTAATTTTAGATGGCTCGAACTAGGTATGGTAATTGATTTATTTGTAAAATTAAAATATTTTAAACTAAAATTAAATTAAATCTAAAGTTATTTATTTATTCTGCTGACAGTCAGGGATATTTCTGTTTCGGAAGTACGGACACCTAAGAAATACTCAAAAATATAAAACTCCCTTCAACATTGGCAGGACTTTGCCAATTATAGAAGAAATAAAATACCGGAAACATTATAAACCCACCAGGCTGGGTAACAACTTTTTTCCTAAGAAGCAAATTCAACCTCAGTACCCAACCTACTAAGGCCAAAGTGCCCTTCGCTCATATAATGCAGTCCACTTAAAATGCTTCGGTAACTCGTTCTCGTCAGACCTTGTCTTATTTTGAGGGCAAGAGCATATGGCTTAAGATGTCAGCAATACGGGCCAGCATATATGGAAAATTCCGAGTTGTTTCCTTATATTTCGCCGACATTGCAATAATCGCCATGGAAAATAGCCCGAGCACAGTCAAAGTCGTACAAAAATGATGTCCACTGACTGTCCCAAAGCGTTCTGAGCGCATGGCAGTTAATTTGCGTATTTACCATTCACCCACTTCTCGCAACAATTCATTGACCAGCGCGATTGGCAGCCGGGGACTGGGGATGTGAAAATAAAGTCGACGGCTGAGGTCATTTTTCTCACGATAAACAAGCTGATGCTCTTGTAATTATCACGGCCCACCGCAATGCCTGGCTTGAAAAGTCGCAAACTGACGGGCCAGTTTGGATTACTGAGGCGTGTATGTGTTTGTTTGAGGTGGCCGACTGGTAGGCAACGATTCAGGCTGCATTAGCGCCTTCTTATTGTGGCTTTAAAGTCGCATCAACTCCGTGGGGTTCAAGCCAGGTGAAGCGGCATTCTTAGAGGCAACGCCAGTTGCACTAGATACCTGCGCCCTTTCCGGTCTCCAGTCCCCTTTACTTAGTCATAACACCAGGGAGGAGAGAGTTCGGAAGATGTACTAAAAATATCCTTTCGCTATGATTGCAGAAACGCACAGGTCACCGGAATTACTTCCATCCTGTTATAAAGCATGCGGTGGACATAAGTGAAATTGACGGTCCAACTGTCATAGTAATATTATTTTTGGGTCGTATCTACTCCACCGTCTCCTCCCTTAGCCAATTGCGCCTGGTAGCAATACGAGATCAAGAAGCCAATAGGGAGTGGCAGGCGCCGGTAGCTTGCTATTGCATACCTTACCTGTGTGTGACAATTTTTCCGGGGGCGTATTCTTCATCAAGTCTACTCTGCCCCCATGTCGATCCGTAGGTGGCATCCATCTGTATAAACCTATCAATCAGTTCAGAGGAAGGAGGCGCGATCACTGGAACAAGAGTTTTAATGTTCGGACGCGTCGGATTCTCTCGAGAATCATTACTCATAGGTAATCATAGAATAGTCTGAGATATGCGCAGAGACGGGTTGATGCCTGCACAGACTGCACGGCATTTATAGCTCATAGTGGTCATCCGCATGCGTACGATGACTACCAGCTCCTGTCGCTACCGCTTGGGGTCTTAACTGATGCGGTGGTGGCTTGACACTTCGTGTTCGACTTATTAATTGCTGTCATTTTCTCGTCCGTGTCGGATGCGGGCTTGATAACTGCGCGACACTTATTCTCGCTGCCGTCAGAGTTGTTGTTGGGCCCGGCCCTTCTCATTGCTCAGGCAATGTCTTAGTACGCAGTACTGGAACGACAAATCATTGCGCTTGTTGATGGACTAAGGGCCCGAGAAACAAAACTTCAGCTGTTCGCGGCTCACGCGGTTTTCACCTCCTGCGTCACCTCAGTGCACATTGTGCGGACTACGCCCAGCACACAAAATTGTCTACAGTCGGCGTCAAGACCAGAAAGCCAATGACAGATATGGGAAACTCAGTGCACAAAAAGAGCCCACATTTGCAGAAAGCTCAATGTCAATCATCGGCTTCCCTATATATTCTAACGTCAGAAACGTATGCCTAATTTCCCGAATCTCTACATTTATTCTTTATCGTTTTCCTTCCCTCCTTCGTCATCGTCTCCTTATTTTACTTCCTATTGTTCGCCGTAGCGAGTTCGACGAACAAAACTACAAGGGCTCCCATATTCACGAATGGATTTGGAAAACGAAGGAAAATGATGGTCTAGTTATTTACACTCTTGATAAACTGGAACAAGTAAGGATGAATGCTGCCCATTTTAGCAATGTAACTTGGCTTTATTGTTGTCCTGCGATAGGGATTTCCATCTTCCACGAGGACATAGGTTTGATTACCATGCTTAATAGGTCCAAGAATAAAAGAGCATTGCCCACAGAAACGTCAAACTCCTGGACGTTCCCTCTAAGGCGTGTGTTACAACTCCATGGCAGCTAAAATTGCATCCGCTGTTAGCATGCAATCACTGGATGCAACTGTAATCGCATTTTTAGGGAAGTATTCTGAATAACTCACTGCTTTCCACGTAGATTGCTAGGAGGCATACGTAGAGGGATTTTGTCTTTCGACGAAGAATAATCCATTTTCCTGATTTGGCCGGTGAACACAGAACAACTGCTCCATAAGGGGTGAGAAATTCATTCGACGTGTTATTACAGAATTCGTACATATCCCAGGGAAGATCTACTACATGCGTAGATTGTGTGGCCTGGTGGAGTTGGTTGGTGTGCAGGTACGTAGCGGTGAACACATCAATGGCCTCCACCCCTAACAATTAAAAATTGATAAAACAAGTAGTAATTTGTTTAGCGCGTTTATCAAACAAAATAGCAACTAGGATATACCACCAAATAAAAAGTGATACAGGCAAAAGTAACTTATTTAGCCCCACTCGCATACCCTTAGTCCCAGCATTTTGTCCTGCAAAAATGGCGGTGATAGGGTTTCGTGGGGTGGGGCAATAGGATACGCGGAGAAAGAAATTTTTAGAAGCAAGTGTAAAGTTAAAAAATGTAGTCGAATTTGCTTCTGCGGCCGCTGGGAGCAGGTTGTTCCGCATGTAAATTGAAGGTGTGTGCGGTGCTTTGCGCCGCGGACTACACTAATCTGGCTCCAGAACGGTAAGTTGAACCACAGGAAAGTTGAACTAGACAACCTTCTAACCATAATTTCCATTTTTTGAGAAATTCAAGCAACCTCCAGTGTGATAATCGGGGTTTTCCGCAATAAGTTAAATGATACTACAGCTTAGGAAC